ACTTTTGTTGACCTTTGTCCATGGAAGGTCCCTGCAAAATTTCATTGAAATTGGTTCAGGGGTTTTGGAGAAGAAGTCGAAAATGTAAATTGTTTACGGACGGACAACGGACGACGGACGACGGACGACGACGGACAAAAGGCGATCGCAATAGGTCACTTGAGACTTTGTCTCAGGTGACCTAAAAATGTATAAAAGCATACACAATCATCTTTATTTCACATGACAATAGTGTAAATGACACAGTTCAAGATGTTCTATGCGGTAAGTTATTTGAATTCGAACAAATCGCAAAGAATCAAACTGATTTTAGAAATTGATAACTGAGAGTGAAATTCGAGACATCTCCAAAACAGGGAGACTTGGCACTGTATTTGACTATAAGAGCTGATTAAAGTCAGATCGAAGAGGAACTGAACTTTGGTCATACAAATAAATATACCATTGCTAATTTTAACTGAAACTGACGAAATCAATTACATATAATGACAATTACTGAAATAGTTTTAAATTAATTTTTAAATACATAAATATTTTGAAAACTTTTTTCATGATATATCAAAATATAAATTAAATAAGATATTAATCACCTTTCTTCAAAACAAAATAATAAATAATAAATCGAAGCTCCCTTTAACATCTTATACGTGTATACAGTTCTAATTCTGAAATTTAACAAATGTGAAGACAGTCTATATGAAAACAACCAATTTGAGTTCACTGGAGATGACTGCTTGCTCCTGCATGTAGTGTTAGTGACACATACATTAAAAGGCCAGATGCTGATTTATCACTTCACTGCATTTCACAATCATATTTTGAATATCCTGTTCTTTTGTTTGGTTATAGTCTTACACTTATAATATACATTGTAAATCATGAGAGTAAAACTAAGGAAAAAATACTTTCAAACCCAAATTTAAGTCAGTCCAAGGGACATTAAAACGAGAACATTCTGTAGTTACAGTTTATCAAGTTTATTTAAATAAGAAAATTGTTGATGTTGAACATTATTAAATTAAATACATGTACAAATCACTTCCAAGCAAATGAAGCCAATGCTATATACATTTATTAGTCATCTGTAATACTGTTAAGCTCCGCACGAAGACGGATACTACTAAAAGATCATTTTGTTATATCACACAATTACAACCTACAACAATCAACTGTTATAACCTGGTGAATTCTGCTAATATCTCGTCAAGACACTGAAGAGTAATGTTAAATATAGATATTTCTTAAAATAACAAAAAGACTTGGTTTACTGAACTATATGGAACGACAGAAGATCAATGATAGGCAATTAGCTAAGAACCTATCAATAGCATACATATTATAGATACCACAGCATTACGTTGTAAGTTGATAAATCCCAAACTAGATTAGAAAACTAACCAGTGGTATATGTAGCTGGTAGCTATATTTTCAGACTGGCAGATTCAAGAAACTGGTAACACCGTCATGTGACAAGCGATGTCTAAAGTGCAGTACCACTATTAAAACAGAATCACATGTTCAGCTGAATGAAATGCATATTCAGATCTTAAATGCAGTATTTTCAAATGTGCAAAAGCTGCAGATGAGAGCTGTGGCATTCTTATTCCGAGAATCAGTACCGGTATATGAAATGTAAAAATCTTATGTATATAGACATGAAAGACAAAGTTAGTAAAAACAGTGTTTATGTTTTAAAGAAAAAAACAGTACTTCCCGTTTTGTATAATTTCATTTTAAACGACGTTCTTAATTGTGTTTATACATCCAATTTTGCAATCAGCGCTTGTTTTCCTTATTCTGGGTTTTAAGTCATGATTTATTGTATATTTTAGATGTGTAAAATATTTGTCAGCATAATTGTCTTGTGTATATGGATAGTTCACACTCGAAAGCAGCAAATATGTGTGTAGGTTACATACTTGAAGTAGTGCATATATTCTATTATCTATATGCTTCTTTTTCATTTTTCAAGACATGACTTACTGTAAGTTGTAATATCTGTTATAATAAAATAAATGTTACTATCTTGTTAAATAAATGGTTTCAAAATTGTACCACTGATAGGATTAAGAAAAAATAATGTTAATCCGATGTTTTGCATAACTGTGATATATTTCTTCATCTCAAAAGAGTTCCGCGCTAAAAAATGTAAACACCTTGTATAAATAGTAACAATATGGAAAATATAAAAGGCTTAATGCAATGTACTTACCTCCCTTGGTTACAATGTTAGTTAAATGGTGGCTATGAATGAAATTTAAATATTTAGGCAGAGGAACCTTACACAAATACTAGCCATTACACATAAACATGACTTTTCTATTACAATGAATGACATAATATTTCATAATTCAATACTATTGGTAAAGACAAAATCGAACAGTTACAGTGATACACTGTATCCAAAAATGCAATCTGGTGAATATTCATTCTTTCAATTATACAATGCAATGTATGAAAAACTTGACTCTTCGTAGTCATTGTTTACAGTCTTTTTCGATACATTTCATTTTATATGTATAACACTTTTACCCCTATGTAACTTTAGTAAACTCTACAAAACATTAATCTGGATGAGTCCATTATGGTCCACAGTGGTGAAAGGGTTAAGGATATACTCCTATAAAAATTGGTAATAAATAAAGTTTGCCTAAAATTAATTTAACTGCACCATACAACTGTTTCATCATTCGTGGACAGTAATATTACAATATGCAAAGAGCTAATTTTCATGATCAATTTCTACTTATTAAATTAAAAAAAATACTTAAAGTTGATTGAGAGCTAAACAATGAGAAACGTAAATTTTAAGTTTGGTAGAATAAAACCTCTCATGTTTTATATTTAGAAGCACACACCTAAAGCAAAATTTTCCAAATGATTATTAGGAGATATTTTAAAAAATTAAGAAGAATTTCCTTAACGATAGACAAAGGGAAAACACCATTTTATATCTATTATTAACAAGATTACTATAAAGCTTCACTATGACACCTGTAAATATCTGACTAAACACACGTACGTATACATGGTTCTACACACAATCAGTCACTTTAACCCATGCAAGGATTTTTACAATGTCTTTTTTTTTTAAATAATGATTTATGTCATCCTTTCTCTCAAAACATGACAATATGGTTCATGATTATTTATGAACATCAAATTCACAACGTCAGTTTGGCCCACTCTTTCACTTCCTCGGATGCAGTTATTTCCCGAAGTTCTAGGTATTTGCGACTGTTCTCCTCTGTACTTTCTAGGAAATATCGATAGTTCACCATCATACCACATGATTGGTTGATACCTCGCATTGACATGTCACCTAACCAATTAATTCTCCAAAGGACAGCTCCATTACTTAAGTGGAAATTTGCTGAAACACAAGAATTAATTTGTACAGTACTTGCCATTTGGCTGAACCTAAGACAATTATATACATTTGACCCATAGGTTGACATTAATTGAAATATATAAAAAGCAATCCCTAAAAATGACCAAAATAAATATCACACATTATTCTTAAACTAATCATGGTAACAATTTAAGTCAACGTACCTTCAATGTGTACAAGTGTTAAATTAAATCTAAATGACACATTACTTACAATAGTATACTATATATATGCGGCATAAGATTCATCAGTTTGGTATGTTTGCAAAATAAGTTTTAATAATTACTGTTTGTGTTCAAAACAAACTTAGTCTTTATATATAAACGATCTAGCTTTCCTATAGAATTACATTCCAGAAAAAAATGATGAATTTTATGATGTGCACCACACATCATTTTCTTTGTTTGTCATTGATATTCATTCAAGCATAATATATTCTTAAAAGAAAATGAAAATTGCCATTCATGCTTAAATAAATGTAGTAAATATTGTGAAAATAAAGCATGAAAACAAATTTATGTTATCAGGATTGACAATTGGTACCCGACTGTGTGTACATGTACCATTTACCACCAAGCATGAACAGAATTAGACCAACAGAACAGAATTTATGGCCCATATAAGATCTCAACCAATCGGAAGCTATGTCTGCCACCTTGGATTATGGAATCTGGATAACATGACCTCACACAACATGTAGCCTATCCAATGAGTACTATTGCCATCAATGCTGAAAAAGGTGGTCAGTAAATATTGTGAAAATAAAAATTGGAAAAAAATGTACCAAATAGTACAAAAGTAAAACTATATCTGTCTCAGGCAATCAGAAGAGATGAATTTGCTGTGGCCATCTTAGATTTTGTATCCAGGTAATACATGTATGGTGTTATTAGAAAAGGGTATCTACCATTTACCACAACAACTGAACACTGATTGGTCAGAAAGGGCAATACAATTTAAGTTTTACAGCACATGTATAAGATTCCATTGAATATGGTAGATTCACTAAGGCTCATCAGAAACAAACTTGATGGTGTTAGGTCCACCACACACTGTTAAGTCAACAACTGTATTTTTTATTTTTTTTTATTTTTTTATTTTTTTTATTTTTTCCAAATTTATAACAATGCAAATATATCATACATAAACATTATTCCTCTCGCACATTACAATTCATTCATTAAATATTCATTTATAATAAAACTGCATATTTCCAGGTATAATTAATAATTAATTATGTTTATGTATAATTAAATTCCATCTAAATTGTGTCCGTTATATAAAAGCATTGTTTAGAAGTGATAGAAAAGAGGTTAGAGCAGGTCCTAGAGGTATAGAAGGGAAAGTAAGACTAAGAGAGAGAGAAAAAAAAAANTTTTACATATAAGTATTCAGAAGTACATGTTTATATAAGAAAACTCGATAGTTATATGTTCATATTTTGGCAAAGACAGGGTTTAAGCAATATTAATTAGACTTTCCCATTTTTTCCATTCAGTATTGAATTTCAATAAAAATAATTCACTTTTATTAACAGCAATATATCTCTGAGTAAAATATGTGTCCTTGATAACGTTCTTAAGTGCAGCTACTGACAATGACATTTGTAAACATCTCGATTTATAAATATATTGTTTTATAAGTAAAATTATGGTATTATCTACCCTACTACTGATACTATTTTGATTAAATAAACCGAAAATGAAGGTTTCCTTGTTAAAACCAAATGGGATTAACAATGCATCAAGAAGGAATTCAAAATTTTGTAAAAAGTCTTGTACTTTCTCACATTCCCATAGTGTGTGAATTATTGTCTCAACAAATGTATTATAATTAGTCAAACTCTTTAAAAAAGTGAATCAGGTTATATACACAATGTTGTATGTCCTGATAACAAACATCTTACTTGCTGATGAAAGCTTTCCAATTATATTTACAACACCAGTTTTTCGAAAATGAATTCTACATACCTACTGGATTCAGGGCATATCCTCGCCGTTTTTCTGTGTATAAATAGCGAGCACAGAGCCGCGTCAAAGGTCCTTGTAACACCTGACACACATGTTCATTAGACACCCAAGTATGATTCTGTAAGACACCCTTCAGCACAGTCACCATGTTAGCATTCTCTGGCTCCACTATCTCTCGTAACTTCTGGATTTCTGACTGGTACAACAGGGGTGGCTCTACACTCTCAGACAAACCTGAACAGTACCGGTAAATTATAGATAACTCAGCCAACAAATCTTCAATTAAAGTACTTTTAAGTATGTGTTTCTTGAAAAATAATGTATATATATGAAATGATTGTAAATTTTTTCAAGATTCAGTATGTAGTATTTCAATGAACTTTTGTATTTCAAGCCAGAATAAAAATGTACAGGGATTGATTCTGTGGGAAATTTGCCAATATATTTTTAATTTCACATAATTGGAGACAAAAAAATGCAAAATAATATCACAATAATTTACCAATATAATCACTTTGCAAAAACAGAAAGATAAATGAAAAAAAAAATCTGAATATATCAAACTTACTTGCAGCTTTTAAAGATTTGTTGATCTCTGTAATAAGCCAATCTTTGAAACCAGGAATCGGAGAAAGGCTGGAAAACTTATGGATTCCTGGAAACTCTGTTTGAAGTTCCTCAACTGCCTTTTTGATTAAATAATTACCAAGGTCAACACTTTGTAAACCTGTCAAAAAGAGAAAAAAAATGACCAATGGTTGTTAACCTCAGGAGATTTCTCCAATAACTTAAAGGAGAAAAATATTTGTAAAATATGGCATATACCTTGTTCTGTACAAAAAACCTGATGCATTGTTTTTCTAAAACCAAAAGACTTGATGACTGAACTATGACCTTATGCTTCATTATTTTTGAAACAATTTTGATGACATTGATGACCTCATTCATTGTTATAACAATACAGTCCCTATCACAATATCATTGCACCATTATCCTACATTGAAGCCAAAATTGCTTAAACATTTTTTTCAACTTTTTATTTGCCACCTAACAAACTTTCAAACCAGATTTTATCTCATTTCAACAGAATCAAGTAACAAGCTATCTCCTTTACAAGTAGTATAAATTTACCTTTCTTTAATTTGTTTTTACCAGTAACATTTAAAGTGCACAGCATCTTCAAGATGGTAACAACTTGTTATCCTAGATACAAGAAAAATTCAGTGTTATTTGATTTCTAGTAAAGTTACCCTTCTGTGTAGATGTGATGGAGTAGAACACAGCAGCAGATATTTTTGATTGATCCTCTGTCAAAGTTTCAGCCTCCGTATCGGCAGCTGGAGGACTGTCGACAGCTTGTTTGACTTGGCCTAAAGACGGTGTACTAATGATGGACTAAAAACAAACAATACAAATAGAACAGGTTCTTTATTAGATTATTTATTACATTGTCTTGAAGGACTAAAACATACAATACAAAAAGAACAGCTTCATTAATTACATTGTTTTGCAGGACTAAACCAGACCTAAAATAGCCCCAAAAGATGGGTCAACCATTACGATTTTTGTTCCACTTATACACATGTACACATTTAATACTCACATGTATAGATTTAGATATGTCTTGTGTGAGGGCTGTGTGGAGAACCACCACTGGTTCCTTAGGCATGCTCTTGTGTGTGAACACAAAACATCTACGATACGTGCCCACACGTCGCTTCAGGTCTGCCCAATTTCTAATTGGGTGAACAGCTTCGTAATCTGAAACCTGAATCCATAACAGAATCTTAAATGATAAATGCAAATTTCACATTTTGTGGTATACATTGTATAATGAAACAGACATTTTAGCCTAATTGCCACTACCTTTCTCATTTAAATTCTTCTTTTCTTTTGTATTTTTACTTGTTATTTCAAAAGGTAGGATCCATACCTCCAGGACATCCTAGATCCACTGTGATTTCAATTCCATTTCACATGGATCATGTTGACGGAGGTACTAATGAACTTTCCTGATGAGTTAGCAACATAACATTCCTAGTTATCAAACCAACATACTTATAAAACCATCATCAAAATTTAATGGAATTATTTATTGTAAATTGGAATAAGTTCTGCAACAACTGATAAATCAGTTCACATTATATGTTAAGTTTATTATTTGTAATTAGAATAAAATGATCACCTTCTGGACCATGTCACAAGATGATTCCCAGGTAATACGCTGCAGCTTGAGGAATCCGACGGAGAACCAGAATGTCAACAGCTCCCTGATAGAGTTCTGTAGCACTCTTAGTCTAGCCAACTCCTTCTCACAGTGAATCGTTGGGGCTTTAGTCTGTGACAGAGACAGTACTTGTAAACAGTGGTAATTTTATCTCTTAGGTAGTTAAAACTGTCCTTCAATTAACACCAGTACAGTGATCTTTTTAATTTACAAGATTTGTTTTGTATTACAAATTTACCCTCTGGAAATAATACGGAATCATACAGGCTTGCCTGATAACATAAGGTAAATATAATTCTAAAATTTCTGCTAGGGTGCTTTGGGACCATGATAGCTTAAAGCCTTTAACTTAACCAACATCTGCATGCTGTAATGTCTGTACCATATATCTAAAACATCCTTATACAGAACATACATCTGTTAAAACTTGAGGAAGTTTATTCAGATAATACAGATAATACCTATGTGGGCATTATTACATATTGTATACCGTTGTGTTTGGTAACTTATCCATATCAAACTGATTGATATCTGCAAATGTCAAAGGACTTCACTTTAAGAATTAAAAGATTATAGAACTGACTTTTCCTTGGCCTAAGGATGCTGTAGACAAACTGACATTAACATCCTTTTACCTGTTCTGAAGGAGTAGAATAGAGTAGAATTTAAAAATAGAGTAGAATTTAAAAATTCACCTTTATTTCCTCTATTGGGTACAGCCCCTCTGCCCCTGCCCCCAAGAAGATTATTAATCCTCCTTTTACACAAATTGTGTCCCCAAGGTTCAACAATGCTCCAGACTATTTTTAGTCTGTCAGAAACACATTTGTCCTATTTAAGTTCAGTCCTGACATTATTTGTCCTTGACTTACCAGTATGTCAGCCCTCATGTTGACCAAGAATTTGACACCGCCCTCTATTCTGCCAATCTTCTGGAACAGCTGTTGGAAGCGAGGAACCAGACTGTTGCGTAACCTCTCCTCAGATTTCAGTAAAGCAGCTTCGCCACGCTCCTACATGCCACCAAACAGAAATAAAGATATGTTAGTGTTGATTATAAATTTCTTCTAAAAAATGATGATGATTGGATTCAAACTACCAAAACAATAAATTTTACACTTTACCTGTGCAAGGGTGACACCAGAGCACACATTACCTGTGCTAAAGTAATACTAGATCAAACATTACCTGTGCTAAAGTAATACTAGATCAAACATTACCTGTACTAAAGTAATTCTAAATCAAACACTAACTGTACTAAAGTAATACTATATCAAACACTACCTGTGCTAAAGTAATACTAGATCAAACATTACCTGTGCTAAAGTAATACTAGATCAAACATTTCCTGTGCTAAAGTAATACTAGATCAAACATTACCTGTGTAATACTACGTGTAGATCACATATTACCTTTGCCATAGTAACTCCCTGTGCAGCCAGTACAACACTGTCCTGATGCACACCATACTGCTTTGACAGGACCTTCAGGAATGTTAACTTCTCTTCCGGATTTAGGTCATTGTAGTGTTTAACAAACCTCTGACACTTAGCCTTGATACAAAAGAGACCGTTAGAAAAGTTTTATTAGTCCAATTTTACATCAAACTTTCAAAAAATAGATCAGAAACAGCTTTTAGTATCTACATTTAATACTTCTCACATATGAAATGTGATTATCTCCCTTTGACCAATCATCTTGTAAAAATAAACCTAAAAGCATGATTTGACCACAGAGTTTAATATACTGTCTGTAACTAAAATACAACTTCTGGTTGCATGTTATGTAAACCACAATTCAAACATTCCAAATAAATGATAGAACAGCACTTTACTCGCAAAACGTACAGCATGTTCCGAAACAAACAAACACCCAGTGGTATCTACAGGATACTCCTGTTCTTTACAATTACCTGAACCGCTTTATAACCAATAGCACTGTTCTTGAGAGCTTTTTTAAGATGACAACTGCTTAGCAATTCATGTCACCACCCTTGCAGAAATATTGAGTCTCTGTTACACTATTGCTGTGATAGCGCCATGATATCACTGCGCGTTCAGATTTCGTATGCATATTAGTTTCTGGCGATATCGCCAGAAAGTTCTGGCGCACTTGCAGCAATATGGCCAGAATGTTCTGGCACACTTGCGGCGATATAGCCAGAATGTTCCGGTGCAGTTGCGGCGATAATGCCACAGGCTAGGGTTCTGGTGATATTGTGACTCACCCACTCTGCATGTCTTGGCAAGCAAGATTGGGATTCCAACAATCAAATATATGACAATATTGCAACAGGGTTGTGCATGTAGTTTAGATAATAATTCATAGCTTATATTGATCAGAGATAGCTAGGTTACAAAGGTCAACACACATGGATTATTTCACAATGTGAAATATAGGAACAGTTTTATAAGAAACCATTTTGTATAGAAGCAACATGAACTTCTGTAAAAATAGGACAGCAAGATCTAATGCAAGATTTTGATATGATGTACTACACTTCTAAATGCATGCATGTAGAAGAATTGTGTATGACACAATTTAAGCTTTATATATTATACAACAGTTATTCAGTTAAGATTTTACATGTTTATGACCAATGATTATAAAAAACATGAAAGAAAAAATAATCTACATTACCTTATAAGACTCAAGAATGCTGTCTCTTTATCAAAAAAACACTATAAAGCCTCCTTTTCCCCCTCAACTTTTCCCTTCACCATGAGCTCTCCTTCATTCATCAGCCATTTTGTGATTTTTAAATTTGGGGGTTAAGACAAGTTACAAAGGATCATGGGAATTCCTGATCTGTGGTGCACTTCTGGCGATATTCTGGCGACATTCTGGTGACATTAAAAGTGTGCCAGAACATCACCAGAATATTTTATCTGTGGTGCACTTCTGGCGATATTCTGGTGACATTCTGGGGATATGAAATGTGTGCCAGAACATCACCAGAATGTCACTGCTAGTGGCGATATTCTGTGCACTTCTGGCAACATGTTCTGACGAACTGATTTGTGCGCTGCAATATCACTGCAAACTTTCTATTTCTGTAAGGGCAGTTCTGTCCACTCAAATTTCACCACATAAACAAGACAAAAGAGAACACTAATCCATAAAGAACTATGTAAATAAAGCATCTTACCTCTGATGATAAAACACTGATTTCAGGGGAACTGAACACAGACTCTAAAAAATGGGCAGTACTTTCTGCATCCTGTACACTGGGCAGGTCACTACCGCCATTCATAGTTCGGCATTGGGGAACAGTAATTGTTATTCCTGGCATGTACTTCAGATGCTGAAAAGTCATTAGACAGATTTGTCAACTTCAGTAAAGGCAAGTAATATTGATCTCATACAACATGATATTGATGTTGTTAATAACGTTTTGATCGGAGAAAGTGACAACACATATATATATTACAGAACTCTTCATCTATTGTAATGACATCCTGGTAAAATACAAGCCACTTTCAAATGACTTGGCTAGGGAGCATTACTTTTTTGTTTGGTAGAGCGTCAGACCAGAATGTATCCCCAGTGGAGGCATTACAAAATAATGACCCTCGGTTACTGTATATATAATGTAAACACAATATGATAATGTTAACTTGTATTATTATGTGTCAAATCTGTTTGAAGGTAGAGTCATTTGTGACCATACTACACAGAGTTCTGAAATTCTGACAAGTCTCACTACAAAAATAAGACTCTAAGGTCAAGTATGGATGATTAATCTTTAAAGTTTAAATTGTAAGTTGATTATCAATTTCCCATTCTCTAAACCCCGAGGCCATCCATTAACTTTTAGAGCCTCGGTTATAGGTATATGATTCCTGTTTGTGGTCTAATATGTTCACAATGCATTAGTCTTTTTTAAAGGATATGACGTGCCAATGTGTTCAGAATTATACATCTGGACACTACACCAGCAAAACCTATTTCACTAATTACCAGTAAACAGTTTTAACACAAGATATTATTGACAAAATGTGAATCACTATTATTCTCAATACAGTTTGTCTCGTTGAAACATTCCAAAATCAGAACCCTCTTTTCTTAAATCCAAGATCACAGACATTGAAACACAAGATTTTCGGGTGTCGTCTCTAATACAACTTTTTTTTAAAAGAAATTTTCAAGTAGAATTTAGTAGAATTACTGGTATACCGGTAAATCACTTTACAACATAGCCTATGTTATGTAGCTCAGGACTTAGTCATTTACCGGTCTGCTTAGTAGTTCCCAGAAACCTGTTTCTTTTTTACTCAAACCAATTCTAATTATTTACATAATAAGTCTTTTGAATATTTCATTCTATAGCCACCAATCAGACACCAATACAACAACACCTCTAATTTATCTTTATCTACATATAAAAACATATTTTACAGTATCTATAATCATTTACACAATCTTCATTTGATATAATTGAGGAACATATATATACATGTCACATGAAATACAACTTATCCTCAAAAGACAAAGGCAAGTTGGAATACCTTGGTTACTGTATGTCCTCCAATTTTTTACCTGTAATTGTTACTTATTTTAAATCACACACATTTCTGATGAACCCACTGGTAATTAACTAAAGGGATTTCCCCTCCAAATCCTTTAATAAAGCGTTGCACTAAATATATATATAGTAACTGTAGTTCTCAAGTTCCAGGGTTCTTTATGTAGCCGAGACACTTGAAAAGGGACCTCACACTAGGGAATAGTTTTAGGGAAGTTNAAAAAAAAAAAAAAAAAAATACAACATATTTTTAATGTACAGTATAGTATACCAGGTATAAATGTATCTTAAAACTATCCAATGTCATATCATTTAAAATAATATTGGCTTCTAATTATAAATGTGATCATGCTGCCTTACATTAAGGATGATCCCTCCACATATTAAAAGCATTTAACTTCTTTTAAAATGATCTCAATCATATACAGTGTATTTATGTATATATATATATAGTACACATTTAAATCAAAACTGCCATAAAAAAGCTTGGCTAGTCAGTCATTTAACTCTTAGGTTATGAAGTTAATACCAGGAAATGATCATTTCGAGTATGCCTTCAATAGAAACACAAATACTTGAAACGATCAGGGAAAATAGACTTCTACAGATATATACATACTGTATTGTGCCAAAGTAATTGCAGTATCTAAATATTTATTCTAAATTTCATGCATATTTTTTTAAACTTTTATTACATGTTTTGGAATTTGCTTGGGCTTATTATAGAACTATTGAAACAAAATTTCACATACAGAAAGATACGTTTCTATACAATATCTGCGAATAACTACATACATTTCTGTTAACTGATTTTCGAGGTGTGACAAGTTATTTAGATCAAATCCATTTTACTACACTATTTTTGTTCTTTGTCTTACAAATTAATGCGTTTTTTTATTTTTAGAATAACTCACCATATTATTGCCAATCATTCTACGGAAAACTATGAACATATTGTCAGATAAATCATCAATTAATTCTTTTCCAAGATGCTCAGTTACAAAGGGCAAAATAATTGGCTCCAGGAAAATTCAATGAAAATAGATAGATCGAGATGCATGAAATATAGAGTAAATCCAGGCCAATCGCTAATACTTTTACAAGGATGCTACAGATATCTGCTAATATATCAAATTGAAGTGAACTTACAATTATCAGATGTTGTATGAAACACCATTAAATGCTAACCCTTAGGCTTGTCCAAAATCCCCACAAATACACATAATAATATTATTATATATAAATCAATAATTAACAGAGTTGTAACAACGTCAAAGTATAAGATACAAATGCCACAAGGATGTAATACATATACAATACTACAGTAAGATATCACAAGGTGAGAAAAATAACACAGAAGTACATCTACATCAACATATATATCACAAGGTTATAACATCACTGTTACATCAAAATATTACAAGGTTATAACATCACATAGTATTACATCAACATACCACATCACACTGTAGGTATTACATCAAAATATAATAAACTTGTTACAAACTATTACATCACGATATCACAAGGCTAGAAAAATGTCATACATACAGTATTACACTGAAATCTTATAATAAGGTTAGAAAAACTTTAATATATTACAACACACAGTACTACTGGTATCCTAAAATTCCAGAAATTTATTATGAAAAGGTTCATGTTCAACAGACTTCATGGAATGTACATGTTTTACCAAGAAATAATACAACAGGATTCACATAGAGGATCAAATGGGCCCATTTAAATTAAAAAAGACAGACTTGTCTGCGCAGAGGCCTGCACTACATTTTGTTGTGAACGAACGGTATAGTGTAAATTTAAGCTGTCAATTGACAACGGACTCTGATGTAATCTCTTTTTGATATGTGCAACCCTAAATTGTTGACAATTTTCTAGTATCATGGCCAGCCTGCAACCCTGTAGATACATGTTAAATGCATTAAAATAAAACTATTATAGCTCAAAAAAGCATGTTGAATACAACTGTGTACAATTATAACCCAGGGCTCAGGCTTATATAACCACCCGGCCACTAGTCCTGACCGGGTGAAAATTGAAAAGGATGAGTGGAATTTACAACCACACTTGTCCTGGTACCGAGTCAATATTACTGAAACATACACTAGATCTGTCGCCTAAATATTGTGATGAATAATCAATGGAACACTTTTTACCAAGTAACTTTCGTCACAGCATCGGAAGTAAACAACGTAAAACATGCCGTTTTCATGCTTGTCATAAAGATCACCTGAGCGATTGAATCAAAGCGTCCTGAACGATGTACTGCGGGGCCCGACTGCAGCAATCGCAGCAGGGAACTAGACTACATAATGTTCCGTAACTAATCGAAACATTATATTATGATATATTTGAGGAATGGAAATCAAACATATGTTGCTAGTTATGATGTGTAGTAATTGTATTTACGATAAATTAACTCGGCAGTAAATGCAGTAACAAATAATATACGTTGACACTTCGGCAAGGGTTCAGAAAAATCACTGACGGTGCCGATACGTTAGGATTTATAATGAATATATGCACACATAAAAACATTCATGGACATTCAACAACATCATCTTAACAGGTCAACAGATCAGTAAATATTTATTGAAATTTTTCATAATCTCAGGTGTACAGTAAAATTTCTGGAGTGCCGAGTGGATTTTTCATGACACTAGGCACAGTGCCTAGTGGTTTAAAAAGTTTAGCCTGAGCCCTGTAACCTCATATAAGAAAATTAAAAACATTTTGTCAAACAAATGTATTGGACACAAATGTTTTTTTGATAAACAAATTAACTGATTAGCACTACCAATTAGTGTACACCATTTGATTATAACAGCCTATTGTGATCACTATCTTATTTTACATGTACAATGTAACTTAGAAAACGCTACAGACAGTGACGCCACACAAACAGGGCCAGCCTAAAGATTATATATATATAGTGCTGCGTCATTTTCATGGAAACAACAGATCTATTTATAGTCATGTTACAAGAGTGCTGTCAAAGATAATGTTACTTCTAGTCAAACCACTCAGTGGTTTTCATGTTGTTGTTTTTTCATGACATCCATTTATAGTATTTTGGTAAAATGTATAAGTTATATCTGTCAATGCAGCATTTCCGTGTAACAATTAAAAAGAACTTTTTTCCAAGACAAATGCTATTAATTAAAACATATCAGTCCAAGAAAACTGGTCAATTATATGAAGAAGTGACAATTCAACATAAAAAAAACATTAACAAACAAATTAATAAATCATTTCTGATAATTGTTATTGTCACCTTAACAGCATGAAGGAAACAAACAGGACAGTATCTTTAAATCTATTGAAAAACATACTAAACGCCTTATACAGTTATCCAAACATGATAAAATAATTCCCCCATGCAATTCATGAACTTCGATAACAATTCAACCTTGTCCATTAAATCATGTACATGACAGTATGAAGAATGTATACAATCAAAGATACATCAGACTTCCTTTGTTTTTTCCCACTATATATATACCTCTAGGTAGCACGTATACAATCATCAGTGAATTGCATGTTGCTGGTAATACTACAATTATTCCTAGCAATGTCTGATTTTACTTGATAGTTTTAATTGTCCGTGCAGCAATATTTATTATCCTTGATAAAAGTAGTATAAATGTTTTCTTTTTCAAATTAAACTAATACGAAGTTGTATTTAACAGGTGTGAATGCTATATCTGTATATAAATGTTGTAGAGACTGTAAAAAAAAAGTTTCTTTTTTCACTCATTTATTCTTATATCTCCTTTCCTCGCATTAGGATACAGGAAACAATACTATAGAGTACAGTCAACTGTAATTCTTAATCTAATAAACCCAAATATCATAGGTATAACACAAATCTAGTAAAGACTTTCTCAACATTTATATTGGAAACAGTTTTTTTTTTTAATACTTTATCAGGTGAAATATAGTTAGAGATATTTAGCAATGTTGTTTCCACATAATAAACTACTACCCTGTTTTTATGGTAAATTGCTACCTGATTTATAGAATATAACACTGTAAGAAACACTGATACACAAACTTTCTGTCATACATATTTAGATATTGAAACTTACATGTATATAAAACAGATTTACTTATGTGTATTGTTCTATTGTATGTACATTGTATGTAGTTAGATGCAGGCTTCTTTCACCTAACCTCAGGCTGAAACGGTTCATGTGACTATGATTAAACAAATGTCCTCGTACCAGATAGACGTATCCTGAAACGTGTGAATAGATTTTGCTTAAAAAAAATGCTCTTAACTAGCCAAGTGATAGTCAGCTTTTTGGTTTCAGTCAGTAACATCTAGAGCCTCTCAGTGTGAACATGTCTCATTTTACAGAGGTTGGCCTCTCTCCTGATGCGTGCTGTTGTTTTCTTTCAGGTTCAGCCAGATGAAACAGTTGAACCAGATACACAAAAGAAACCTTTGAGATACCATTTGGTATCCACACTAGGAGTGAAGCGCCCAACTGATCTGCCCACTTATAACTCATACGACGTTAGCTCTACTACTCATGCTTCAATTTAGAGTTATGCATATAACAGCCCTCATTATATATTTTTCACTTGGTACGTTTATTTCATTTGTTTCAAATTAAATTGTTAGAAAAGATATATATGATATAATTCAAAATTGATTTTTAAGATGATTGCAAAAAATATGAAGCTGCACTGGAAAAGATGTAACAAAAACTAATATGTGACTAAACATGAGCTATTTTGTGTAAAAGATAATGTGTGGATGCATTACTGTTGCATAATAGATTGTGTCACCCTGGTCCAATACTAACTCCATCCTACATACATTGCTAGAAAAATCTCTTTAGCTCAATACAGCATCAGATTAAGCAATAAGGAAGAGGCCCCTGGTTTTTGATACACAGGAATGGCATACAAAATAACCTGTGTTACTTGTATATGTATGAAAGGAGAAAGAGAAATGCAAGTCAGACCAAGATTGGAACCCCGAGACCTTCTGAATTCTAGACAGACGCTCTACCAATTGAGCGACAATCTACCCAGTCCAGTTCCACTATATGAATTAACTACCTCCCTTAAATTCTATGTTAAATTGATTTAACTTACGATGTCATGCGCTAATGTTATGTTGTTATGTAATCTTCTTTATTGGAGAAAAAAAATAGCATATCAATTATTTTTACAATTAGATGTACATGTATATATACCATCGATACTTTTAGTATCCTTAGTTATATCCACAGATAGGTCTAATAGTCCAAATAATTTTTTCTACATATATGCAATTTTTATATAACATGTTACGCGTGATATTTTTCATAAGTACATATTGATTCTATGGAAAACATCTTGTGATCTGCACTTTATTCTTTTCTCCCCAACATGTATTTATACTGAACAAATAGAAATGTACACGAAAAATATGTCAGTAGGTGCCGAATTGTATCAACATGTAATACTAACAAACCATTAACAAAAAGGTTTTACTTACGTTTTTCAGAAATATATCCTAACCTAGTGAAATTTTCTACAAGTTTTTTCTCTAAGTCAATGATACGTTATCCTGTGAACGCGAAACAGAAAATTGTTCCGACTTCTGGTGAAATGCAGGTCATACCTTGAAATCTAAACGCATTGACAAATTTCCGAGAAGATATCATAATAAAAAGTCAAGCATTCCTGGAACAGGAAAGGAAAGTACAAATAGGGATTCCCGGAATTGAACTCTGCACATGTGACCTACTTTCGGTTTATCAATGGACGGTCTGCTCTTATCGCACCGCCAACTATTATGCTATTTTTTAAAGGAAATACAGCACAAGACTGTCATGTACTGTTTCTGCTTGGTACCAACCGCTTTAATGGCATGGAGGCGTTTAACAGATGAACCCATGTTGACTAGTACCCGTAAACGTAACAATCTATTCATCTCAGTACGTTTTGACAGCCGTCAGAAGGAACGACCCATGGCATGACCCAGTGATCTACGTCACAGAATCTGCGTAAAATTCGCTAACATCATTAAAAATAATACAATCATTGGAACTAAAAAAAATAAAAGGGTAAAAATTGTAATAATTATTCTTCTAAAATACTTTATACTATAATAAATATGTCCTGTATTTGCTAATGTTCAAGGACAGCACGCTGTTTATTATTTTTAGTTTGAATTGTTTTAAGCGACGTCCCACAATGACGTTTTGCACACAGCAATGAGGCCATGCGACGAAAAGTTTCGTAAGGTTACTGTATTTTTTTGTAATATGGTTCCTTATTCTAGACAACCCGAAATGACAAGGACAATTTAATGTGAAATTGACTTTTGGTAAAGAAAATGCTCACAATACTCCCTAAAACTGTCCAGCATGTGTTTATTCAGCCAAGAGCGTCATGCCAAAGATGTTATCAAATTTGCCGGTATGCAACATGGCCTTGGTCCGACACATCGAGTAAACCAACGACCTGGAACAAGGCTGTTTCGGACGCGGAGAAGATCGTGGGATATCCGACATCATTTATGAGCCTGCGCTGTTTACTTAGTGATGAGATTTCTAATGTGGCATTGCTGATGAGAAAATTAGTAGGGACAAGACATCCTCTACTGAAAACTGCAAGGTGATTTTGCTAATTTGGAGATAAATAACAAGTGGGTTTTAAATGTAATCATTTAAAATATGTAGATGGGTAGGTGTTCATAAAAATAAGACAAATGTATATATATATAATCTTATGACATGGTAGATAGGTTATAAAGCTACAGTAAGCTGGATGCCTCCAACCTCTAGATCTGCACTCCAATAGTTAGTTATCATACAGTGTATATGATAAAAAAATAGCCAACCAGTGGCCTCTTACTTTTATTGGAGCAGATGTCTCCGTCCGATTGAGTTCAAACGTTGTCATACTCTTGTCAATCCAGTACTTGTAGATATAAGATGTTTCAGTGCTTCCAAAAAAATCAGATTTTTTTTACAATAATGCAAAAATTTAAATTTATGAAGTTGATGATTCCCATAGACCTACAGTGTTTTCCATATGATTGTCAATAGATCTACTGTTAAATTGAATGACAGTGTATGACCTCATAGTTTTGATTCTTCACTCTTTGTTATACATGTACATGTATATCTATGGCTCACATTTATACTGCTGTTATATATACTTATAGGGGCCTTGTCGTTGATGGAAAATACAACATACAGACCAGAGGACTCCTTGTACTTCTTATATCGAAATCAGCTGGTGCTGCTCAGAATGTGTCCCACAATTTATCAGATCCAGATATAGTTGATGGCATTCACAAAAGGTTTGTTGCCTTCATAAATGTGTTTACATGTACACATATGTAACAATATATAAACATACAAGCCATATCTCACGGCGTGAGGCAAAATCTCACTGATTTTCACCTCAGTAAAAGTCTTATGGCATGGGACATGTATTTACAGAAAGTCCTCAAAAATCTCACTGATTTTAATGATCGATCGGTGAACCATTTTCCCGTTGATGTTTACTCGAAGTTTTACGAGATTCAACTATGTTTTCAGCGATAAATCACAAGAGCTCTTGAGTAGAGGTCATGTGATCGATTCGTATGCAAGAGCTCTTCCAATAACTTCCGGAAAATGTTACCGGTGTCGGTGAAATTGTGAGTTTATTTTGGTGTCTGTTACAATAAGTAATCTATTGGAACGATAGAAATAAATCCATATTATGTATTTAATTTGATCCCTTCTTATTGTTGCCATTCAATTCCGTGATACAAGCAGACTGCCTGACACTCCTAGTCTGAGTCTCGGCTTCACCATCCAACTGTTACTGTGAATTAAGTCAGTAGAATTAGAACAATTAATGTTTTCTGTCGTGTTTGTAACGTTAGTTCATTGCTAGACACTTTGAAAAATATGATGTCCGGCTACGCATTACTTTACAAATATACTGATATAAGATCAGAGAACAGTCGGTCAGGGGCATATCAATGAAGATGGAAAATGGCTTTGATCTGAATGCTGAAATATTGAATTCAAAAGTTCAAATGCAGAACACAGTTTGCTTTTCTTTCACAGCTGATTATTTCTGTCCTCTTGTTAAATGCATGTTTCCAGATTATATTACAATGCTCAAAAGTTCAAATGAAAATGAACAAAGACAACTGTAATCCTTATAAACTCATCAAAATCCACAGTTCAAAGTTAATGTCTCCTAATTGACTTGAACGTCAGTAGTACTGTGGCTGCTGTGAATATTGACCTGTCCAACTAAATTGCAAAATTTAAAGTAAAATCTGCTTTTTCAGTTCATCTCAATTAATTATCTGTGATAATATTTTTGTTTCGTAAACTCTGTGCTACTAAATATATATATATAATCATATTTAATATTTATATAGCAAAAAACTCTGCCAAAATCAAAACAAAGTTCCTTACTTAATGATTTTGTACTATATATCATTGATTTAGTTGAATAGGATAAGTTTTTTTGTCGTGAAAAACGCCGCGAATAAAACCTCCCTTATTTGAGCCTCAATTCCCTTAAATTGATTGTAAAACTCACAGAATGGTCTCCAAGAATTGTCGCATTTATGTATAACCATTATTAAAAACGCAACTTAGAAACTGACCCAATTGACCCAGTGAGCTTTATTTTCATCACAGAAGCTTAATAAAAGTTGAAAGTTTAAATGTTATCAATTAACAGTATAAATATACTTCCAAAGATTAATAATTGTTTATGGTACATGTATATAGATTTATTTCATAGTAAGTCTAGATCTGTAATTATCATAATTGATAGTCCATCTAGATCTACATGTATAAGGATACAAATATAACAGTTTTTGAGTGAAAAACGCATTTATGTTCTTAGGCCGTACTGCATCGTCGTCCGTCGTCTGTCTGTCAACTTTTTCTTTTGAACAACTTTTTCGGAAGAACTGGAGGACCTAGGGTCATGATATTTGGCCAGACAGTATCTGCGATGGAGTGCTATAAAGTTTACTCATTAAAATGACCTCGACCTACTTTCAAGGTCACAGGTGTCAAATATTTAAAAAAAAAAAAAAAAACATATCCCAAGAACCATTTGGACTAGAGTCATGTTATGAAGACTAGCAGTAAGAATATTTTTTCTTTATTACAGTAATGAGGTCAAAGGTCAACTTAAAGTGCTAGTTGGGGGTCAAACGTCATCATGGGTTAAAAGCTTTGACAATCTTCTTCTCAAGTTCCATAAGGCCCAGGGTCACGATATTTTGCTAGGAGGTACCTGGGATAGAGTGCTATAAACTTTCCTCTTTAAAATGACCTTTACCTACTTTCAAGGTCATAGGAGTCGAATATGTTAAAAAGCATTTGGTCTAGAGTTATGATACTTGTTATGAAGACCAGCTGTGAATTGTTTTCTTTATTACAGTAATGAGGTCAAATGTCAACTGTAAGTTCTAGCCGGAGTCAAAGGTCAATGTGGGTTAAAAGCTTTAAAATTAAAATTTCAAATTTCAAACAACAATATCTTAAGAAGCATTTAAGAGATATTAAAATGTAAAAAATATGGTCTGAAGTTACCATATGTCAGTTTCATGTAATAAAAGAAACAGATGAGCGATACAGGCCATCTGGGCCTCTTGTGTTATATTTGTGATGATGATACTCTGTTGCATTGTAGTTATTGTAACATTGATCATGATAATATAGTACTTGTATCCCTTTGTTACACTTCATAGAATCAGACCTTATGTGTTATATATATATGTGTAATTATAAAGACAATACACCCTAAACTGACAAATTTATTGGAGTTATGTTCACAATACAGTATATGTATCTATATATAATTTACAATACTATAGATACAGTATATGATCTACGGTATATTTTCACAGTTTTAATGTAAAAAGACTTTTGTAGATGTATAATGTAACTAGAATTTTTTATTCAAATACTGTATCAAGAAATTATAGGATGCAATGACCTCATGCTTTGTATGTATCATTACCTTTTTTGATATTGTTGGTTTACATCTTTGTGTTGATATACAAATATTGCAACACTCCTAACTTTTATCTTACATTCAACAGTCAGCGGACATTGGCAGAGATTACAGAGATGGTCTACACTGCAAACCTTATCCATAAAGGTGTGATCAACCTCTCGGCTCTCACGCCAGAAGATGGCCCTGCACAGGACATGGAGTTTGGCAACAAAATGGCGGTTCTTAGTGGAGACTTCCTGTTGGCTAGTGCTTGTACAGGCTTAGCAGAACTCAACAACACTAAGGTAAAGTTTAGAAGTACTGTATGCTTATCATAGTTCATACATTTCACAAGATATAGATTTTGTCGTTAATTTCATCATTCATATTTACTAAGGTACATAAATAAAACTGTTGTCCATTTAATGGATTAAAATTCTCACAAATTATTTGTTTGAAACACAACAGTGAAAAATATTATTTGTTGATTGCTAGGTCGTAGATAGACCGGAAAAACCTTTGTCTGTTCGTTGTTTTAATTGTTAAACAACAAAGACAAAATGGAAACAGCACGGTTCTGATCCTCTTATATATATCCTTTGCAGGTTGTTGAAAACATATCTCTGGCCATTGGTAATCTAATGGAATCAGAATTCACAGACCTGCGAGATAAGGATGGAAAACCAGTACTACCATCAAGTGTTAAGTTTGACGATTGGTTGCAACAAACATTCCTGGCATCAGGAAGCTTACTGGCCAGGGGTTGTCAGTCTGCCATGGAACTTTGTGGTTATGACAACCATGTCCTGCAAGCTGCCTTTACATTTGGTGAAAATATGGCATATGCACATCAGGTATAATGTTGTTTTGTGTTAACAAGTTAAAGCTTATAAATGGGATTTGGCAGTCTTGAAAATTAGTTCACTTACACTCAAAATAGTCTGAACAATGATGTTCTGTAATAAACGTAAGTACTCTATAATGTGTTAAAAATAATTTCAGCAGATTATAACAAAGGTGTGCTTGTTTAAAACTACAGACATTTATAAATTGATGGGAAACTCTGAACCTGTGATTATCATTTGCTTTGTGAACCATCTCAGTCTAGCAGGTTAATTAAATACATGTAGGATAAATATTTTGACATTTTTATCCACTAAGAAAACCTTTAAAAAGTGCACTTAAAGCTTATCTTCATGAATTGTAAACCACCAGATGCAGGAAGACCTGAAACCTTTCCTGAAGCCAGAGGAACACCTACAGGAATTAACCTTGACCTCGGCTCCAGTCATCAAGTATCTAGAAAACAACAAGACAGCACAGCAAACACTGATAGAAAACATGAACTTCGAAAAGGTCAGAATAATTTCTTTGTGGAGTTTCTGTGTGTTTATCAATTTTGTAATTGTTTTATATACTGTTTTTCTTGGTTGTTTTTTTCCTCAGGTACATAGTTTTATATAGACTTTAATAGAGGAAGCAAAATGTACATGATATTTTAGTCTAAAACCTTAAATGATAAGGATTGAACCCCTTTAAATCAATCAAAAACATTTCATTTGTGTGTTCATTCAGTTCTTGCATCTTAAATAATACATATATGTTTTTGTGTCTGTTTGATTTATTGTTTTGATGTTACAACTGTACAAAAGTTGGCTCCACTGTATTGATTGTACATAGAAATGTAAGGAAGGGGATCTGATGTTAAATGATAAATTGTCATTTATATTATTTTCGTTTAATTTCAGATTGTAACATTAGTGAAGGAAAGCCCAGCAGTAGCAGAATGTGAACAGCTGTGTATAGAGTATGGACAGAAAGCTAAGGCAGCATTGAATGTGTTTCCAACATCAGACGCTCAGAATGCATTAGTGAACATTGTAAATGCTACAGCAGTTTCATAACGAATGTAACTTTTTATGTGTATGCATGTGTTAGTATGTATGTGTATGGAGGGATATATTTCAGAATTTATTATTTGCTTTTCATTGGATTTTTTTGTCTAACCGGGCTATGACACATTATCTGTTCTTATTTTCCTTTGAAGGACAACTCCTTCGGAACAGTTGAATAAAAGTTTAATATTATTTTGTTAATGAGCAGAAATCCAGTGTCATTTTTCCCTACTGCTTCCATTAGGATTTTATTCAATATTATTTGTTTCAAAGCACAGTTGAGCTTTTTAGCTTATGTGTCTATTTCAATCTTAAATAAGAACAAAACGAAAAAAAGTGAATGGCGCTCATTTCAGTTTTATACTGGATTTATATTGTTATTTTGTCAGCAGATATAATTTTAACTTATTTTTAAATTTGTATTTTCCCCTTTTGGAGGGTATAAAGTATGATACAAAAAAATGTATTCAATTTTCCACACTAAGGCCTCCTGCTGCTCTAGATAAAGCGATAAACAATAATATATGCCCGACACACTTACCCTAACCCCCTAACCTAAAAAGAAGATAGAACATTATATGAAGTAGATATTCCTGTAGAAAATGATTTGAAGCTTTACATATATACACAATTTTAAAATAATTCAATTAATAAGCACATTTTCAGCACAAATAACAAAATTGCCTGTCTTGTAATTCAACTTGCATAGAGATAGTTGGTTATCATGTTTATCTAACCTGAGTTAGTTAATTTTCAAATTGTATACAGACACGAGGTTTACCGAGTGTCTTTTACATTTGAAAATTAATTAACGAGAGTTAGATAACACATGATAATCAACCATCACGAGTTTAGGAGCCTTTTTCTCCCACAACGTTCAGATATTATATCTAGAAAACCTTATGTTTCTCTTGGGAATACCTTATTCCTGTTGATGATCGGGAAAAAGTGTAATGAACTATGACGGTACAATGGCAAATCATTGTTACTTGACGTCATAATTAGAAGATTGACCAATGAAATCACGCCCAGGGTGGGTACCCAAAAATGTTTACCAACGCCTAGCAGGTTTATCCAATGAGTCGGGAGTGTTGAAACCTACAATGGTTGTGGGAGAAATGATGCATCCAATATCATTGTAAAATATGGTTTCTTCATTATATTGGAAAACAGTATTTTAATTAATTTCTTAATAACAACGAAAACACACTCTAAATATTGATTTTCTTTAATTTTTAGATTCTTAAAATTTCAACTTAACCACAAATAGTAAAAACCTTATGTTTTTATACATTTCATGAATGTGACTAATAGAATTAAGTCAAATAGTGTATGACTGTATAAATCTAAGTATGTAAATTAACATTTGCACTTTTTACCTTCATGGTAATCAAAATAGTATGGGAAAAGTATTAGGACTAAGTAAATTATTTCTGCTTCCTTGATATGTATAGAAACAGGAAGTAGGTGGCACTACATGATTGTCCTTAATGAAAAATAACAAAATTTGAATCTATCAATAGCATCACAGACACAACTCTCCCCGGATAGAAGCATTGATCTATAAAATGATAGGTACAAAAGGAGTAGGTATTACTGGTGTCTTACTGAATCTGGTTGAAATTGAGAAAAAAAAAGAATTTAGCAAAAGAAGAAGATAAAGCTGAACAAAACATGTCATTTAAACTCTTAGACGGACTTCCATACTTAAACTAGGTACATTAACATTGATATTTAAAAAATAAATAAAAAATCTATACTTTTATTTATCACTTCTACTAATAATTACAAAGTCTTAAGTAAATGCACATGTATTGAATATATGCATAAATACATGATTCACTCAATGCTTGTATATCAATGAGATATTTACCATTTTTGTAAAATGTAAAGGCTTGTGTTACCTAACAGACTCTGACAGGCATGGAAAATGAGCTATCCTTCCAAATTTCTCTCTCCAAAACTCAGACTAAAAAGTTTCTTCCCACGAACTTTACCCGAGTGGAATAAACTCCCTCCCTATACTGTATCTAGCCTGACAATAAATTCTTTTAAATGAACAAACTAAACTGTATCTGTCGTAAAACTTTTCTCTTTCCATTTAAACCCTCCGGATCTTCTGACACTAATCTTCAAATAGTTACACGTGTATGTATCCGTCCTGACATTGTACCAAATAGAGTGAAGCTGCCTAGGTGCCTATAAACGTAGATGAACTTGTCTATGAGCTCAATGTTTATGATTTCATTGCAAGGTACAGGTATAGGAAGTAGGCGGCGCAATCAATAAAGGTCCTAAACATATGACGATAATTCCATCGATCTATGGCATCACGGACCCAGGCTGCACCTGGAAAAGTAATATGTACATTTTTTTGTATATAGTGTATGACAAGATGTCTCACCTAGAAAATACATGTATATAGTGTATAACTAGATGTCTCACCTAGAAAATACATGTATGTAGTGTATAACTAGATGTCTTACCTAAAAAAATACATGTATATAGCTAGGGTAACTAGATGTCTCACCTAGAAAATACATGTATATAGGGCTGCACCTGGAAAAGTAATATGTACATTTTTTTGTCTATAGTGTATGACAAGATGTCTCACCTAGTAAATACATGTATATAGTGTATAACTAGATGTCTTACCTAGAAAATACATGTTTATAGGATATGAATAAATGTCTCACCTAGAAAATACATGTTGATAGGATATAAATAAATGTCTCACCTAGAAAATACAAGTTTATAGGATATAACTAGATGTCTCACCTAGAAAATACATGTATATAGTTTATAACTAGATGTCTCACCTAGAAAATACATGTATATAGTTTATAACTAGATGTCTCACCTAGAAAATACATGTATATAGGGCTGCACCTGGAAAAGTAATATGTACATTTTTTTGTCTATAGTGTATGACAAGATGTCTCACCTAGAATATACATGTATATAGTGTATAACTAGATGTCTTCCCTAGAAAATACATGTTTATAGGATATAACTAGATGTCTCACCTAGAAAAATACATGTATATAGGATATAACTAGATGTCTCACCTAGAAAATACGTGGATATAGTGCATAACTAGGTGTCTTACCTGGAATATACACGTATATAGGGTATATCTAGGTGTCTTACCGATATAACTAGATGTCTCACCTAGAAAATGCATGTATATAGGGTATAACTAGGTGTCTTACCTAGAAAATACGTGGATATATTGCATAACTAGGTGTCTTACCTGGACTATACACGTATATAGGGTATATCTAGGTGTCTTACCGATATAACTAGATGTCTCACCTAGAAAATACATGTATATAGGGCTGCACCTGGAAAAGTAATATGTACATTTTTTTGTATATAGTGTATGACAAGATGTCTCACCTAGAAAATACATGTATATAGTTTATAACTAGATGTCTCACCTAGAAAATACATGTATGTAGTGTATAACTAGATGTCTTACCTAAAAAAATACATGTATATAGCTAGGGTAACTAGATGTCTCACCTAGAAAATACATGTATATAGTGTATAACTAGATGTCTAAGCTAGAAAATACGTGGATATAGTGCATAACTAGATGTCTCACCTAGAAAATGCATGTATATAGGGTATAACTAGGTGTCTTACCTAGAAAATACGTGGATATATTGCATAACTAGGTGTCTTACCTGGAATATACACGTATATAGGGTATATCTAGGTGTCTTACCTGGAATATACATGTATATAGGGTATAACTAGATGTCTTACCTGGAATATACATGTATATAGGGTATAACTAGATGTCTTACCTGGAATATACATGTACATAGGGTATAACTAGATGTCTTACCTGGAATATACATGTATATAGGGTATAACTAGGTGTCTTACCTGGAAATACATGTATATAGGGTATAACTAGATGTCTTACCTGGAATATACACGTATATAGGGTATATCTAGGTGGCTTACCTGGAATATACACGTATATAGGGTATATCTAGGTGTCTTACCTGGAATATACGTGTATATAGGGTATAACCAGATGTCTTACCTGGAATATACACGTATATAGGGTATATCTAGGTGGCTTACCTGGAATATACACGTATATAGGGAATATCTAGGTGTCTTACCTGGAATATACGTGTATATAGGGTATAACCAGATGTCTTACCTGGAATATACACGTATATAGGGTATATCTAGGTGGCTTACCTGGAATATACACGTATATAGGGTATATCTAGGTGGCTTACCTGGAATATACACGTATATAGGGAATATCTAGGTGTCTTACCGGGAATATACATGTATATATTCCAGGTAAGACACCTAGCTATCCCCTATATACATGTATTTCCAGGTCAGACACCTAGTTATACCATATATACATGTATTTTCTAGGGGAGACATATAGTTACCCTATATATATGTATTTTTCTAGGTGAGACATCTAGTTATATCCTATAAACATGTATTTACGAGGTGAGACATCTAGTTACACCGTATATACATGTATTTTTCAGGTGAGCTACTATACTATGCACTAATTATAATGATATCTTATAATTAGTGCATAGTATAGTAGACTGAATATAATAGCTGTCTCACCTAGAAAAATATATGTATATAGGGTAACTATATGTCTCCCCTAGAAAATACATGTATATAGGGTCTAACTAGATGTCTTACCTGGAATATACGTGTATATAGGGTATAACCAGATGTCTTACCTGGAATATACACGTATATAGGGTATATCTAGGTGGCTTACCTGGAATATACACGTATATAGGGTATATCTAGGTGGCTTACCTGGAATATACACGTATATAGGGTATATCTAGTTATACCCTATGTAGATGTATATTCCAGGTAAGACACCTAGTTATGCAATATATCCACGTATTTTCTAGGTAAGACACCTAGTTATTCCCTATATACATGTATTTTTCAGGTGAGCTACTATACTATGCACTAATTATAATGATATCTTATAATTAGTGCATAGTATAGTAGACTGATGTCTCACCTAGAAAATACATGTAGAGTATAACTAGATGTCTCACCTATAAAATACATGTTTATAGTGTATAACTAGATGTCCCACCTAGAAAAATACATGTATATAGTGTATAAATAGATGTATTACCTAGAAAATACATGTATATAGGGTATAACTAGGTGTCTTACCTGGAATATACATGTATATATAGGGTATGACTTGTACCTGTCTACTGTCTCACTATTTAAGTGACAACACTTGATTCAATTAGTGATATTGCCAATTGATTATAATTATCATGATATGACCAGTTTATAATGAATTGGTGATATCAGTTATCTTTTCATGGTGATTTTATCAATTATTATCACGATATAAAAGTGTATCACTATTTTATCATTGAGATACTCATTTAATGATATAAAAAATAAATCGATGCTCATATATCAAACGATTCTATATATAAACGATACACATGATGTTGAGACTTTATTTATACTGTCTGGTCTAACAGCTTGGTATGAAACTACGGATTTCATCATGAGATAACAAAGAAAAGGATACAATCGATTCGTACCTTTCTTTTCGACGACTCCGTTGTCCAGGAGGACATTGATCTCCGGCAGCATCATTGTCACCGAGAATATTCCCCCGATGAAGAACAGAGCGGGCCCAACCAGCCAGTAGTACTTGTACTCGGATTCGTCCAGGAAAAAAAATACTGCAGTCCCACATCCCGCTCCTATCAGGCCCATAGACGGCTACAAATGGAGGAACTTGATATGATTATGCATCTTATACCAACAACAAATTGGAAACTAATATTGCAAGAGATAGGCAAACAGAACGAGGATGATGCGGTGATGCTTTTTAGTACGGGATACAAGAAATCAACATCATTTTCCGGATAACTAGGACTACTTAGGGACGGCACTACTAACCCATAGGTCTGTAAGAAATAATGGTAAAATATTTTTATATGTGTACGCGCATAAAAAAACACAGACAATTTGTTTTAACCTAAATTCAGCATCAGTTGACAAATGCTGACAATTTTACAGTGAAATTGAAAAAGAACAGGAGTGGAACTGTCATGATCAGGGAGCGGAGAAACGCTTTAAGATTTCAGCATTAAATCCAATTAGAGTAATACATACAAATATATTTCGGTATGTGTGTTTTAACTAATTCTTCATGTATTTTATATAAAAAAATGAAAGATGTAAGTATGAAGCGCATGCAATATTGACATTTTGATTTCAACTTTTAAATGCAGATTATTTGCAAAGTTTGGATTCTTTAACCTTTATTTTTATGAGCATCTATTTATGCTTTTTGTTAATAGTCAACAATAATATATCTTAATTGGGATCTAGTCCATCTACACTATCCTACACCTGTTTGTCGTCTCCAGTTCATTCATGTCAATTTAGGAATATTAAGTGTGTGAATAAATAGATGGAAAATGTAAATGCGTAACACATAGTGAGGTTATTCCCATACGTGAATAGTGAGAAAACAGTTAATTTCCTGGAAGAAGTGATGGTATTTCTCGGAATGCTAGGATAAAACAATCTTTAAGTCACGTTTCATAGCTCCTGTTTGGCGCAAAAAATATGTTTAAGAGGATAGCCAAATATATTTGGAAAAACCTGTTTGGTTGTAAAGTACTTCTATTTTTTCCTATGACTCAGTTTCTAACAATACCAACGAATCATTTATTTGATGTATGTTTAGACTTATCCTGATGTGATTAGATGGGAGAAGGTACACACTATATAGCTAGGTGAACCCCACAATACATACTTTACCGAGTGTTGCTTTAAACACATGCAATGTCTAATAATAGTCCGTACACATTAGGATGATCTAAACATGCAGGTTCCTTATCTGAAGTATAAATCACTTGCACATGATACATTTCTGGTACAAGGCGTAATACATGCATTTATATTTATTGATTCTTTTTAGATTAACTTGAAACCTTCAATAAAGGTAAGAGATTTAATATGTGTTGTTTACGAGATCCAATAAAATGCACGATGTTCTACACGTCACACTTCCACAATTGGTACACTACTCAAATTAGTACATGGCCAATAAATGTTTTGAAAAGTATTTCAAAATTAAATAGTTCATAGTGCAATTGTAAAAATATTTATCAGCATTTCAACAAAAAAGTTTGTTATTAGTGACATTTTAAGAGTGCATAGTAAACATGCCAGACGTACGTCAACGATATTTTGAAGATTTTTACGGGATATTTATAGGCATGTTTAACTGTTGATTTCTGTTCCTTATAACTGGGTAATTTATAAGTTAATATCAATAATCGTAGATCGGTATTGCATGTATAAAAGCAAGATATTTTGTTGCCTTACACACATCAACTTACAAGTTTCTTCGTCTGTGATATGGTTAACATTTCGGGTACTAACATGACAGAACAACAGATGAAACCTCACTTCGAGTTTAGCGTTCTTTAAAAAAACAACTAGAATCAAAACTTTTCCTGAAAACGAACCACTTGGACATGTCTTTGTCAAAAATCAAGAAAGATTACAGATATATGTTCACGAGTTATAAACATCATTGACAAATTGTTACAATTGTGGGGTAGTGTCACGTGTATGGATATTAAATTGACGTAAAGCATTTGCGATAATTTAATATTTGTGGACAAATGTTTTCAATTAACGTTGGTAAAACTGTGTTTTTTATTAGCTCACCTGGCACGAAGTCCCAAGTGAGCTTACGTCGTGGCGCGGCGTCCGTCGTCCGTCCGTCTGTCCGTCGTCCGGCGTCAATATTTTAATTTAAACGACTTCTTCTTAATAACCGAAAGGCCTAGGGTGTCGATATTTGGCAAGAAACAAACTTGGATAAAGGGCTACAAAGTTTGTTGAAATTAATGACCTTCACCTATTTTCAAGGTCACAGGGGTCAAATATGTTAAAAACTTTAAACATCTTCTTCTCAATAACCAAACTGCCCAGGGAGATGATATTTGGCCAGTAGCATGCTTAGGTAAAGGGCTACCAAGTTTGTTCAAATGAATGTCCTTCAATTATATTTAAGGTCACAGGGGTCAATTGTCTTAAAAATACTTTAAACAACTTCTTCTGAATAATCAAAATGCCCAGGTTGATGATGTGTGGCCAGTAGCATGCTGATATGAAGGTCTACAAAGTTTTTTCAAATGAATGACCTTCACCCATATTCAAGGTCACAGGGGTCAAATATGTTAAAAACTTTAAACAACTTCTTCTCAATAACCAAAATGCCCTGGGTGATGATATTTGGCCAGTAGCAAGCTGAGATGAAGGGCTACAAAGTTTGTTCAAATAAATGACCTTCACCCATATTCAAGGTCACAGGGGTCAAATATGTT